TACTTACCCAGTCTTCTTTTTTTCTTGTCCTTGATTATCAAGGAGAGTTAAGCCTGATTTTTTATAGTAATTATAGTAATTCACTTTATTTTTATCTAATTAAATAATGCACCAAGATATATAAACTTATAACATGCAAAAAGTAGACAAATTCACTTAACTCTAAAAATGTTCCTGGCTCTTTAACTATGCGACAAGAGCTGTTACAAATTCATCCAATATACTCGTTAACTGTCCCATGGGAATAATGTTGCTACTCCAAGTGAAATTGATCATTACCTGTTCAGAACAAAATGTTATACGATATGTCATTTGATTTTCTATTTCTTAGCTCTTTAACCAAACAAAATTGAAGGCTATAAAAATTCTGGCTTGTTTGAGCAATGACAATTTTATAGAGAGTATTTTACGTTTAATTTTATATATTTTTGAGGAATGATGGATAAAATAGGGATAAGGACATGCTAAGACAAAATGTGTCATGTGGCTGACACTAGTGGAAATTCAGGACTATTTGATATATGTCCTTGTAGAATTAAAAACTTAAAACTTGTATACTATTAAAATATGGATTATTAGCTAATACTGTATGCTATTCTAATTGTTATAACATAAACAAAAAGTAGTTTAATAAAATTTTGAATGTAAGACACTAAAACCTTGTGTCATGCACAGTAAAGGGTACCCGGGGCAATAGGGTTAAGTTTTATATAGTTAGATTAGGTAATGTAATGAAAAAATAATATAACTTCTTGAAAGGTACTCTTGTAAGCAGCTTGTGCATTATGAAATTTTATATGGCAATGTGAGCTGCATGCTTGCTGAGTGATTTACAACTTGTGTGGTGGGATTATTAGTTAGACATGGTACAAAGATCAATAAAACAATAAAATTAAGTATAAATAGAAATATACGGTTATGAGCTTTAAGATTTCAGGTTGCTATTACACTGCTTGTACAGCTTGACAAATTCTAGTATGAAATGCTGTTGTCAGTGGTAGACATGGTGTGGTTAAAGTACCTTTACAAACACTTTTTGGCAAGAATTTAAGGAACTGTATAAACAAACTTGACAAATTTGTGTATGAACACATTATTATTATTATTATAATATTTCAGTTGTTGGCATTCTTTTTAGGGAAAAATACTGATAGCTTTTGTTTTTTCAAAATTAGTGTCAGTAAGTAGAAGTTCAATTAAAATATTGTTTATTTTATAATTACTGTATTGCACATTCTTTTTACAATTGTTACACAGCCGATTCAATGATTTATGAAACTTGAAAATTTTATTGGTTATCTTGCAACTGCCTTTGTTTTTTTTTCTCTTTTTTTTTTCTAAGAAAATAAGAATATCTTTTGAGGTATTCTCAGATTGCTCTGAATTTTCTCGTAGCAGCTTTCAGGACCTGCAAAATAATATGAGAATTCAATAGATACTATATCACAAAGCTGTGCTTGAATTTCCTCTGCCTTTGACTGAATCTGAGTTACAATAAAGAGACTAGAAACAAGTTTAAGCACAGTCAGTGTTTTTATTCACAACAGATATGGTCCACAAGAAGTGTAAATGCCATTCCTAAGAGTGAGAGAAAGAAGAAGCCTTAAGTTCTCAGTCTGAAACAAGCCATACCTAAAGTAATCTCTGCTCTGTCTCAATTTATATTATGTTCTGTAGTATTCTCATTTCTAACTGGCCCTATAAACACAAAAAACAAAGACCAGGCTGCTCATTAAGTACGTGCTTGAAGATCACTCTTGATTTATCACAAGAGAAGGCTATTCCCTTAAGACATTCCTTGACTTGCTGGTAGAAAAAAAACCTGAAAAAAACTGATGTCTGTTTTGGTACATTGCAAGTAAAGTTACGTCTATTTTTCATATGAGAAAGTACATTTGATTATCTTCTGTAGTGACTTCATTCTGTGCATAACTAGGCCAAGAAGAAATTGCTTGTTTCTTTGAACAATTTTCTATATTTGGAGTTATATATACTCCATATGCACAGAATTTATGAAAATTCTACTTAGTAACTAAGGGGTTAGAAAATGTATAGTATGACTGCTTATCACTTTAAAAATAAGTGCAACAGTAAAACTGACTGAAGAAATCTAAATCATATTTTTGACTAATTGCTAATGTCCATGTGCTACATTAACATCTGTTTTAAAGAAATTATGACAACAAAGTCCCACTCAACAACTGAGGCTTACTGTTTATGATCAACCACTATTTATTTGCCTGTTATACCTGTGCCTGTGTCCTTTGGGTGTCCCACTGTTGAATGCAGTCCTGTCGGTAATTCACAGATTTACAAGAGAAAACGTTTAAATATCACATATTGTATCCTAAGCCCACATTTTATAAACCAGTAGGGCAGTGTTTCTTAGAAGTACTGTGTAATGATTCTACTTCAAAGCTGGCTTTATCACTATCACATGAACTCTTTTCATATGGGCTCGGTCACTTTGACTGACCTTGTTACTTCCAGGTAACCATGAAACTAGCCATACTATAACTTTTAATGTAGTACATGTAAATGTAAATTTGGCAAGTTGTTGGTAAATGTTACAAATCTTTTGTACATATAGATTCAGATTTTTTAGTGAAGTATTTTAACCAAAGAATTGCTCGTGATCATATAATCATGTTGACAGATCCAAGTGCAAGGTGATTTTCCTGTTAAGATTAAAAATACTTTTATTAAACTTGCAATTTTCAAATTTCCTTTGCATTATTTGTAAAACCTCTTAAATGAATATTAAATACTTTTTTTCTATAAAACTTTATATTTAACCTGTTATTCTCTCTGCCCTAACCCTATATAGACTCAGTTAATTTGACTG